AGTAGCAACTGGGATCTTAAAAGCTAGCAAGCTGCCATCTAGATGCAACGATCTGTCTCTCCTCCTGTAGAGCAAAGAATGAAAAAAAACAAAATTCATAGAAACAATTAGTCCTAGTGACTGGTACACCATCTGATTTGGAGCCTTTATGACTATGAGACCAGAAGAACTAAATGGTGCCCGGCTACCACTGTCATCCACTTGGAAGGGAATCTGTGTAGCAGATCCTTGATAGAGAGGGAAAACAGTGTAGAACAAAACTCAAAATCATTTGGAGAAAAAAAAGGGCAGGGGGGACCAGGTTTGCTGGTCTGATAGAACCTGGTAGAACCACTGAGACTATGGCTAGCTGCCCTTCAGGTCTGGAATTGAACCCACACCTGTGGTTTCCAGCCAAACAGAAGACAGGCATATGAGTTGAATATTTACCTGAGGTAGATACACTCCTTGGAGAAAACAATCATTGAGAAAGAAAGGCTACCTATGCACAGGGAGACAGCTTAGGGGGCAGGATTCCATGGAGGGATGGACACTGGAAAGAGGTAACTATGGGGAGGAAGTGGGAGAGGAGCTGTTGCATTGTGGTAAACTGTGGTCAATGTCATGAGACAAAGTATATGTAAACTGCTGGAAAGTGAATTTGCTCTGTAAATCTTCACCCAAATCACAGTAATAAAAAAAGAAAAAAGAAAAAAAAAAAGTACTACATTTATGTTCAGATTTCTATTTAAAGAGAATTGAGGTCATATTTTGCCATCTAACATGAAGGAGGGTGGATAGTAAATATGGAATTATCTAGAAGCAAGGAGGCAATTCATGCATTGAATTACTTATCCAGGTTATACTGATAGAGTAGTAGTCTTCATTTTTTAGAAAAAAACTAATTTTTTAAATATTTTTAAATTATAACTACAATGAATGTGTGTCTTCCAAGTAAATGTTTTGATTTTTTTTTTAATTATTTTTAATATTTCACTTCAACTGTCTTAGTTATCTGGTGCTGCTGTAACAGAAATACTATAAATGGGTGATGTTAACCAGCAGAAATTTATTCTCTCACATTTTAGGAGGCTGGAAGTCTAAATTCAGGGCACCAGCTCTAGAGGAAGGCTTTCTCTCCCTGTTGACTCAGTTTCGGAGGAGGGTCCTTGTCTCAGTATCTGTGCACCCAGCATTCCTTGGAGGTCCCCATGTATTAGTCTTACCCTGGGTCTAGGAAGTTCCCAGGGTAGGGACCCTGGTCCAAAGGATATGCTCCACTCCCAGCTCTTCTGTCTTGTTGGTAGTAGGCCCTCTCATCTCCTTGCTTCTCTCTCCTTTTATCTTTTGTAAATTAAAAAATGATGCAGGCCACACCCCAGGGAAGCTTCCCTTTCATTGAATCAGGCTTATGAACTGAGTAAGATTATTGCATTTTGCCTCAATCCCCTTACAACTGATTGGCTGATCACATCAGATCACAACATAGGGGATAAGTACATCATTACATAACTGCAGAATTACATAGTGGCATAGCTGCCAAACAATTGAGAATCATAGCCCAGCCAGACTAATATATGTTTCTGGGTGGGGGGACACAATTCAATCCATGACAGAGACTAAAGAAAGCCTTGCATATAGATTCAGTTCTTTGGGAATTTTGGTTTGAACTGACAGCAAATCAATCCACCTCATTCACTGTCTAGTTACTTCACTGAGTTACTTATCAGCACTACTTTTATAATTTCTTAGGGCATCCTAAAAAATAATTCAGTCAGAAGGAAACCTG